GTATACAAGTTTCATAAAACACAAACATAACAATAAGTTAAAATGAAGAGTATCAGACATATATCAATGATTTTAATAAGTAGTATCAATGATGTGTGAATTCAGATTGTTATGTTTTATGCTTTATATAATGAGTTATGAATCACCTGACTGTCTAGTTCTCTTATTGAATGATTTCATATTATGAACTGGAATTTCTTGATTACTTTGATGAATATGGCGACTGTGAAATGAATGATGTCTGGTAAAGAGAATAGTTAAGGTCAATGAATTTCTATCCATTTCTATAATTTATTAAAATATCTTATAATATTAATAGAAAAATGTTGTAAGTTATTATACTCTAGTAACATGGAAAACACTCACATAAACAAGTTGATACTGAATTGAAGAGGTGTAAAATAAGATAAGTTTACAAATTGTGTACATGTTTGTATAATTTAAACCATTTAAACTTTGACCTCCGAGTTGAAGGAAAAATCATGACGCCTCATGATGACAGCCGAGATTTTTCGAAATTCACGGAGCGGATGTCTCTTCTAGCAACCAAAGCAACAGGTACACTGAACGTACAGACAATGTGGAACACCGGGTGGTTCAGTCAAATAGTCACGGGAATGAAGAGATACAACATGGCGGTTCACCGAAGAAGTGAAACACATTGCACCCAAGCTGGGCAGAAAACATTAGATTCGGGAGAGATGCTGCTGTACTCGTGTCACGAAGAAGAAAATTCGCCGATGTTGTCTAGAGATGCGCGTAAAACACTTATAGGATGAGAATCCCATCGACCCAGGATCATCAAAGCATCCTACTAAGCAAACAGGGAGGGAAGCATAATGAATTTTATCCGGTGTTATGCACCCACCAATAGTAGCAAAGACGATGATAGAGATCAATTTTATGAGAGGCTGCCATCGATCGTGAAGAAGTGCTTAGGAAAAGACCTGATCATCCTGATGGGAATGAACAACACTGTGTATGAAGATAACACGGGAAGGCATGAATTGACTGGCAGAATGAAGGATAATTGGAAAAGTGATCAATGAAGCATTAACTCCAAGATCTCAGGAGCTGCTGGGTCGCAACAAACATCATCATAAGGAATGGATCTCTATCAAAACCCTAGACAAGATTCAAGAGAGGAAGAACAAGAAGACAACAATTAACAACAGCCGAACAAGAACAGAGAAAACTAAGGCACAAACTGAATACACAGAAGCAAACAAGCAAGTGAAGAAGAGTATTTGAACCGACAAGCAGAAATACGTGGAAGAACTAACAACGACATGGGAAAAAGCTGCAACAGAAGGAAATGTGAAACAACTATATGACACAACGAAGAAACTACCAGGGGAATATAGTAAACTGGACAGACAAGTCAAAGATAAAGAAGACAAGGCAATCACTAGAGTCCAGAGACAGTAGAACAGATGGGTGAAGCACGTTGAGGAATTCTTGAATAAACCAGCTCCATTGAATCCACCGAACATCGAAGCAACACCTACAAACCTTCCTATATATGTCACTCCACCAACGATCGAATGGACCCATTATAGTCATCAGAAAAATCAAGGGTGGGAAAACAGTAGGACTTGACAACATACCAGCTGTAGCACTGAATTCACATATAGAAGTAACTGCAAACATGCTCCACGTTCTGTTTAAGAATATTTTAGAGGAAGAACAAGTACCACAGACTGACTGGGAAGAAGGATATTTCCTCAAGACACCAAAGAAAGGAGATTTGAGCGAGTGTGAGAACTACAGAGGCATTAAACTACTATAAATACGGGGAAATTTCAACAGTGTTGTAGAACCGAATGAAAGATTTAGTGGACGCTCAATTTCGAGATCAACAGACTGGATTTCGTGAGGATCGGCCGTGCACAGACCAAATCACCACACTACGGATAATCGTTCAACAGTGAATCGGATGGGACTCGTCACTATACATCAACTTCCTCGACTATGAGAAAGCGTTTGGTAGTGTGGATAGGAGGACCTGGTACAACCCTCATCAACACTATGTAGTAAGTAACTGAGAAAATCATCAACATCATACCGAATTCACACAACGGACTACACTGTAAATTGGTCCATGGAGGACAGCTAACAGACATATTCAAGTGATGAATATGGCGACTGTGAAATGAATGATGTCTGGTAAAGAGAATAGTTAAGGTCAATGAATTTCTGTCCGTTTCCATAATTCATTAAAATATCTTATAATATTAATAGACAAATTTTGTAAGTTACTATACTCTAGTAACATGGAAAACACTCACATAAACAAGTTGATACTGAATTGAAGAGGTGTAAAATAAGAAAAGTCTACTTACAATTAATCCTAGGATTTTATTCATGTATAATTTTCTTTTATGATATGATTGTTCGCCTACTTGTTTATATTATCGCAATCAGTATGTACTCACTCATCTACTGACGCCTGTTGTTTCTCGTGAACGAGCATAGGTCGCCCACCAGCATTCTCTATCCGACTCTGTACTAGGCAATAGTTACCCCAGTTGTTTCCAGTTTCTAATAATTCTTTTCATGCATTTTGTTCTCTTCTCTTCCTCTTTCCCGTTTCCCTTCAGGATTCCAAATTAACGCTTGCATCGTGATGCAGTTCGATGATTTCCATAATCCATGTCCTATCCACTTTCAGTGGCTTTTTCTATTTTCCGCATCAACTAAAAGCTGGTTCATTTTCTCCCATAGTAGTCTGTTTCTGATGGTATCTGGCCAACGGACATTGTGTGTCTTAAGTAGACAATTGTTAATAAATACTAGTAACTTATTGATGATAGTTGTGGTAGGTACGTGAGAGTTTCCACCTGTTCTTGGGTTTCTCCACCAAGTTTGATTGGGTTGGTTGATGTTCTCCATATTATATATGAGAATGTTGCTTTGTACCTTGTGTTTGTTTAGGCCTACTGCTGTGGAGGCTTCCGCCACACTGGTTGTGTTGATCTGCGTTTGTTGGTATGTATGAGAAAGAAGGACTAAGTCGAAATCATCTAGTGGCATGCAAACTGTCCATTGTATTCCGTGCTTCCCCTTATATATGTAGGTCTTCATAATCCAATCAAACATCAGAAGAAAGAGAACGGAAGAGAGTAAGCAGTCTTGTCTGACTGCGGTCCTCACTTGAATATGTCTGTTAGCTGTCCTCCATGGACCAATTTACAGTGTAGTCCGTTGTGTGAATTCGGTATGATGTTGATGATTTTCTCAGTTACTTACTACATAGTGTTGATGAGGGTTGTACCAGGTCCTCCTATCCACACTACCAAACGCTTTCTCATAGTCGAGGAAGTTGATGTATAGTGACGAGTCCCATCCGATTCACTGTTGAACGATTATCCGTAGTGTGGTGATTTGGTCTGTGCACGGCCGATCCTCACGAAATCCAGTCTGTTGATCTCGAAATTGAGCGTCCACTAAATCTTTCATTCGGTTCTACAACACTGTTGAAATTTCCCCGTATTTATAGTAGTTTAATGCCTCTGTAGTTCTCACACTCGCTCAAATCTCCTTTCTTTGGTGTCTTGAGGAAATATCCTTCTTCCCAGTCAGTCTGTGGTACTTGTTCTTCCTCTAAAATATTCTTAAACAGAACGTGGAGCATGTTTGCAGTTACTTCTATATGTGAATTCAGTGCTACAGCTGGTATGTTGTCAAGTCCTACTGTTTTCCCACCCTTGATTTTTCTGATGACTATAATGGGTCCATTCGATCGTTGGTGGAGTGACATATATAGGAAGGTTTGTAGGTGTTGCTTCGATGTTCGGTGGATTCAATGGAGCTGGTTTATTCAAGAATTCCTCAACGTGCTTCACCCATCTGTTCTACTGTCTCTGGACTCTAGTGATTGCCTTGTCTTCTTTATCTTTGACTTGTCTGTCCAGTTTACTATATTCCCCTGGTAGTTTCTTCGTTGTGTCATATAGTTGTTTCACATTTCCTTCTGTTGCAGCTTTTTCCCATGTCGTTGTTAGTTCTTCCACGTATTTCTGCTTGTCGGTTCAAATACTCTTCTTCACTTGCTTGTTTGCTTCTGTGTATTCAGTTTGTGCCTTAGTTTTCTCTGTTCTTGTTCGGCTGTTGTTAATTGTTGTCTTCTTGTTCTTCCTCTCTTGAATCTTGTCTAGGGTTTTGATAGAGATCCATTCCTTATGATGATGTTTGTTGCGACCCAGCAGCTCCTGAGATCTTGGAGTTAATGCTTCATTGATCACTTTTCCAATTATCCTTCATTCTGCCAGTCAATTCATGCCTTCCCGTGTTATCTTCATACACAGTGTTGTTCATTCCCATCAGGATGATCAGGTCTTTTCCTAAGCACTTCTTCACGATCGATGGCAGCCTCTCATAAAATTGATCTCTATCATCGTCTTTGCTACTATTGGTGGGTGCATAACACCGGATAAAATTCATTATGCTTCCCTCCCTGTTTGCTTAGTAGGATGCTTTGATGATCCTGGGTCGATGGGATTCTCATCCTATAAGTGTTTTACGCGCATCTCTAGACAACATCGGCGAATTTTCTTCTTCGTGACACGAGTACAGCAGCATCTCTCCCGAATCTAATGTTTTCTGCCCAGCTTGGGTGCAATGTGTTTCACTTCTTCGGTGAACCGCCATGTTGTATCTCTTCATTCCCGTGACTATTTGACTGAACCACCCGGTGTTCCACATTGTCTGTACGTTCAGTGTACCTGTTGCTTTGGTTGCTAGAAGAGACATCCGCTCCGTGAATTTCGAAAAATCTCGGCTGTCATCATGAGGCGTCATGATTTTTCCTTCAACTCGGAGGTCAAAGTTTAAATGGTTTAAATTATACAAACATGTACACAATTTGTAAACTTATCTTATTTTACACCTCTTCAATTCAGTATCAACTTGTTTATGTGAGTGTTTTCCATGTTACTAGAGTATAATAACTTACAACATTTTTCTATTAATATTATAAGATATTTTAATAAATTATAGAAATGGATAGAAATTCATTGACCTTAACTATTCTCTTTACCAGACATCATTCATTTCACAGTCGCCATATTCATCAAAGTAATCAAGAAATTCCAGTTCATAATATGAAATCATTCAATAAGAGAACTAGACAGTCAGGTGATTCATAACTCATTATATAAAGCATAAAACATAACAATCTGAATTCACACATCATTGATACTACTTATTAAAATCATTGATATATGTCTGATACTCTTCATTTTAACTTATTGTTATGTTTGTGTTTTATGAAACTTGTATACTCTAACCACCATTCAACAATTGGGATCATAAATGTTGATGAAACTGATGAAACATTTTCACAAGTAATCATAATCATAATTCGGATCAATAATCTGTGTAATTAGACAGATCACTATTATTACACAGAATTAATACGATTCAATCAATCATCTCCAGTCATATTTGATAATATGAACAAACCGATTAATTTATCTAGACCAAGGGTAATGTATAATCTAATCAATATTTTTCAGCCATTTATGCCTCTATTCCCATTTATATATTTTGGTGAACAATTTCGTTTGGTTACAATATTTTCACAGAGTAAGTGATTAATGATAACAATTTGTACATTGTAACTGATTGTGTGCAATATTATCAAGGTGGTGGAAATGATCAGTGCATTTATTCGGTCAGTGATTATTCAATGACACCCTTTATCTGATATGATGATCTGAAAGTACACAATTGATCATACAATTTATGAGATTGTAGTGACCTTCTTTTATGAAGATGACGTGATTGGTGTAATGGAAACAATCATTATTTTAACCAACTGTATCAGTGATTGTTTTACTGTATGTTTTTGTTTAATTGTATCAAAACACATAGTTTTCCGTTGTTTGTGACCTTGACCACACTCACGTTCGGTCGTTAGTCTCACTTGTAGATTTGTGTACGATCTCGGTATTATTTCGATACCACGAAATTGCCAACAAATGGATCCTAATTACAATCTGATATTTGTCGTACGGATGGATTTAACCTGATAAGTGGCACGTAATCGATCTGTAGTGGTTATTATAATGAACTGCGACTCAACACAACTACAGGATAAAGACAGACTACCTTCAATTTGGATATAACGAGAACGTTTTTGAAGTTTATAGGAGATACATTTTGGAAATCATCGAATTGCATCACGATGAAAACGGTGAGTTTAAACACTGAATGGAAGACTAGAGAACGCTGTGCGTCTAGACTTGAAAGCATACATCAAGGTGATGATCAATAATATTAAACTACTGTCACGGTGAGATGAAGGCAGTGTTGAACGGCGAATTCTTGTTTGCGGTTCATTCGGCTTCACTATAGATAACTTGTGTTAGTAGTTGTTTAATGATTATTCGTGAACTACTTTTAGCGCGGAGTCGAGTCGCGGTTGACTATGAACACCGCTACAGAGAAACACGTGTCAAGTAAATCAGAAAGCAAAGGTTGAACGTAACCGAAGAAATCCATAAAATCCCCGAGAAGCCAAATATCACAAGGCAGTTAATGGACCAAGTCGAGATATATTTACTGGCGATCTCGTGGTATCGAAAGGATACCGAGATCGTGCCAGGATACAAGCTTGGTTACAGAACGTAACCGAATTCGCACAAAGTCACAATCAAAGTATAAGAATAAGAATGGAAGCACAATATAGCTATCATTAGCACAGTCAAACAAAAGCACCTTAAAACAAACACTGGTACAGTTGGTTATAATAATAATTGTTTTTATTAAACCAGTCGTGTTCTTGTGATACATGTGGGTTACTACATACTAATAACTTAACATTCATCATTTATTATGAATATCTAATCAAATCATTTTTTCAATAACACTCAATAATTACGTCATTATTAATCAATAACGTACTTGCATCTAGTTGGTTAGTTACTAGTCTAAAATCGTAGTTCATTAACAAAGTTCCAAATATGACCTGACAATTATCTGGTATAAAATCAATGAAATTTGTAAATGAAGCTCATAAAATCTTTATTTCATAGACAATATTTGATCATTTTATGAACTTTAAAAGAATAACAAAATTGTTGTGTTCAGTTAGGCTATAAACTATGAGACGATCTATTTCACATATACACATTTCCTCAGTTGAAACATATCAGATTATATTCACAATTGAATGATATCAGTGTCAATTGTTTAAAGGTAACTTTTGTTAAACTATTACTGGTTAAGAATAATTTTTATCAACATTTTATCAAATAAGGTGTTTTGGGCATTGGACCTGGAACTGAGAAACCAGATTCAGGAAATCTAATCCATGCTTTTGATGGAGAAGACGAATACGTTGAAGCACAAGTAAAGGATTCTAGTGAGATTTACCATTTTGTTAGATTATTTTATATTTTGTTTTAGAACGTTATTCTTATATGAATTTTCAGTGATAAATTAAGTAATTAGGAATAATTAATTTCTATATTGTGATTTAATGATAGCTGTTGTCATGAATTTAGATGAGCTGGAGAACTGTCTTACAAATGATGGAGTATTGGAAAGATGTATCTCCCTTGTTTTAGGGCTCCTCAACATTTCTCACCCATAACCAACCAATAATCGAACACAGGAACTTTGGTTCTGCAAAATGAGGGATTTATGCTTGATTAGTTGAGTTGCAATTCAGCAATTACTTACTTACTTACTTACCTCTGTTACTCTTAATGGAGCATAAGCCACCGACCAGCATTCTCCAACCCACTCTGTCCTGGGCCTTCTCTTCTAGTTCCATCCGATTCTTGTTCATTTTTATCATGCCTATCTCCATTTCCCGGCGTAATGTGTTCTTTGGTCTTCCTCCTCTCCTTTCGCCTTGAGTACTCCATACGAAGGCTTGCTCTGTGATGCATTTTGGTGCAATCGTCAATGTGTGTCCTACCCACTTCCACAGCTTCTTCCTCATTTCTCCTCCACTGGAATCTGGTTTGTTCTCTCCCATGGTAAGTAGGTTGTTGCTAATAGTGTCTGGCCAACGGATTCGAAGTATTTTGTGTAGAAAACTGTTAATAAACACCTGTATGTTCTGGATGATGGCTTTCGTAGTTCTCCAGGTTTCTGCTCCATACAGTAGAACTGTCTTGACATTTGTATTGAAAATTCTGATCTTGGTGTTGGTTGACAGTTGTTTTGAGTTCCAGATATTCTTCAGTTGTAAATGTGCTGCTCTTACTTTTCCGATCCGCGCCTTCACATCTGCATCAACAATACACATTTATAACTTCGATAAAAGTGTACTAAAATAAGAAAGTAGGTAAAAGATTTACTTACAATATGATAAAAGTTCATCATCTACAATTTCTTACTAGGAATTCGGAAATCTATCTCGAAAATATTCAATAATGAGCTGACGATTGATATTCTAAATAACCGAATCATCATAGAATTTAACTGTTATACCCTATTTCTATTCAAATAACATTTTCTATATTCTCCTATCCTAATACAGTAACATGTTAACTGTTATCTACATGGAATAAAACTTGTTATATTCATAATACTAGTCAAATCGATTATTAATTAGTGTGATACTCTATGATGTGTACTACTGATGTCAATAGATATAAGTAGTATGTATCCTCTATCGAAAGTGAAAGGTCTGTAGGCAAAATGTTAAAATCAAAGAAAAAAAAGATCAAGAACATGGAATGATTACTGTTGAAACAAAAGTACAATGAGATCTGAGACGATTGATTGATATTTTGCAAAATAAAGTATTTACTGTATGGTTCTCAGATTTGACTAAGAAATTCTTCACTTATGTTCTCATTCACTACAATTTCACTTCCAATCTTTTTAGTTGATTTATAATTTATTAAACTATAACATTCAATACACATAGATTACATGCAGTTGAATGTCTTTTGTATTCCAGATGAATTCTCTGCAGTGAAATGGCTTCGTTTGAATACTCAATATTCAAATAAATATCAAATCAAAGATCATGGTATTTTATTCAATGTAAAATTGTATAAAAAGAAGTTTTTTTTTAATAAACGGAATACACCGATTAAGACATTAAATAAGAAGGATTAGTTCAGCGAAGAGTTCTCCCCTTCAAAGCTGTACAATCGCAATTATACATATACTTATATTAACAGGATGATAATAATATTGATAATCAAATTCTGTTATACATGGTGACAATGAGGTTAAATAAATAAAGGAATTAAGAAAAAGTTTTAAAACAAGGAAAGTTTAATCATCGTTTGATTGTTAATGGCTGAAGGATTCATCAAAAGATAAGGAAATTATCATTGGGAAAACATGGGTCAGTATGATAACATAAAATGTTGAAATAGAGATGAAATGTAATCAGAATGATCGTGGAAACAAAAATAAACCAGTTGAGGGATAGAGGATTTGCGGGGAAGATGGAAGGTGAAGTAGATGGCTATAAAGGAACAAGAATATGAAGAAAGAGAGAAGAAAAAGTTTAATACATTAAGACCATGGTAGAAGAAGAAGTGGTACCAGTTCACAATTTACTATCCAATATGGTTTTATTTCATTTAGTGAATAGAGAGAAAAAAATTCTTAGAATTTAATCATGTAAACTCGAAAAGTTAAGCCAAAACGAGAAAAATTAGTTGACATGGTGATTGGAAACGGTGTTGACTACCTCTAACCACTATGTTATCTTTGAGATGGTGGAGAAGATTTGTAGCTCAGATGGATAATTTTGATGGAGTTTTGTTCTATGAGCTGGAGGGTTTGGCCAAACCACTCAATGTCAGGTCATCTAGACTAGTAGCCACATTACAACGAAATCGATAATATTCTATCTACATTACGAAGGACCTGACATATATGACATTGATTACCATCTAATAATCAATCAATTGTGAGAAAAATAGTTAAGTAACTATGACAACATACATAAATAGGCCAAAATAGAGTATTGAGATAAATATGAAATAACTTTAGAAATTAATCGTATACATATTTTGTAATGATACATATTGAAAGTATACTATACTTCTCTTATTTCTGAATTGAAATGGTTATTTCAACAGTTGAGATCGCGAGTTATTTCAAGTTAGACCACCATGGAAAACCTGGAAGCACTGGATGGCCGTTTCGTCCTATTGTGGGACTCCTCGCAGTGCGCATCCACGAATTTGCGCCAGGCGCTTAACCAACTAGACCACTGAGCCGGAATCCAACAGTGTTAATGCCTAACTTCAACTAATCCACGAGATTGAGCGACACATTCACCACTGTTATCAGTGAGTTACTATCTCACAACTGACCCGGTTGAACTCCACTGGTCACTGCTTCTTACTAAAACTTGTTATTTCCAAATGGAATATGTTAATGTTCAACAAAAATTGATCAAATCAATGAAGAGTCTTCTTTACAAAAGTATAAGAAGAGCGAGTTTTCAACTAGTTGAATGAATAAGAAAGAAAAGTTAGTTAGATATCATAAGGTATTTGAGAGGTATAGTTTACTAGGGAATTGTATTCACATTAAAATAAGAATATCATAGTTTTAAACAAAATATTTTATATAGAATTATGAAAAATGTACAGATTAAAGGAAGTTTCAATGGGATTATGATTTTAAAGTCATCTCTCAACAACTACACACTTCCTCGAAATGATGTGGAATAAAGAATGTGGTGCAAATTATTGATTGCGTAAAAATGGTAAACATGATGCTAAGCACAATCAAATACTCAGTATAAGATAGTTATTTGAAATAGCTACAACAAGCGATTACTTGTGTATGTTCTCAAATCATTGATTTCCAATGCTTGTATTGATTTAAGTCATAAGCTATATAAACAAAGATGGATAATGGCTAGCAGTGGAATACAGGATGCTCGTTTCATCCTATTCAAGACTCGTCAGCTGGATGTACTTGCACTTCAGAGTTGATGTTCACTCTGAGATTCGAACCCAGTATCGTTCGCTTCAAATGCACTCAGCTACTGAGCCATAATAGCCACCTGCTTATCCAACGGGGTGAAGTATTGGGTACTGGATACAATACAAACAATATCAACTAACTTGTATTGATTTGCCTAATACAGTTAGTTACCTACCAAATGATTGTTTAAACATGATGATAAAAAGTGTAACAGTTAGAAATGACTCGAAATTGTTTAACCGTTTTAATGAATCACAATTACTTCAGTGTTAGTCATTCAGTTGGCTTGTAATTTGTATCATTCATTCAACTTCAAATGATCATACTGTTTGATATCACTTTGCTTTAAACAGACTCTACACCTAATTGTCTTTATTCAAAGTGATACATAAATATGTTGCTGTGCATATTTTAAATGAATGAAAACTACCATTTTCCATATTTTGCCTTTTTCAGTTCAGATTGTCTGTGTTATTTATTCAAATGGAAATATATCGATTTATTATGAAAAGGTATGTTAATAGTTAGTTATAAAGTCTTTCTATTCGTTGACTTGAATTGGCAACATTCCAATTTGTTCTACTAAGGTGTGTAATATAAAGTGTTATATTATCATCATTGTAGATATTTACTTGTTATATGAAGTTATTCTCATGTATGTATCAAATTCTACTTACTTACTTACTTACATACGCCTGTTACTCCTCGTGAAGGAGCATAGACCGACCACCAGCATTCTCCATTCAACTCTCTCTTAAACAATCCTTTCCAGCTCTTTTCAGTTGTTATCCATCCTTTTCATATGTGCTTCGATTTCCCGACTCAATGTGATCTTTGGCCTTCCTCTTTTCCGCATCCCTTCATGATTCCAAGTTAGGGCTTGCCTCGTGATGCAGTTTGATGATTTGCGTAATGTATGTCCTATTTATTTCCATCGTCTTTTCCTAATTTCTTCTTCAGCTGGAAGCTGGTTTGTTCTCTCCCACAGAAAGCTGTTGCTGATGGTATCCAGCCAATGGATGTTGAGTATCTTGCGTAGTCAACTATTTATGAGTACTTGTACATTCTTGATGATGGTTGTAATAGTTCTCTAAGTTTCAGCTCCTCATAGCAGAACTATGTTGACGTTCGTATTGAAGATTGTCACTTTGATATTGGTTGAAAGGTGTTTTGAGTTCCATATGTCCTTCAATAGTAGGAATGCTGTCCTTGCTTTGCCAATCCTCACCTTTACGTCTGCATCCGATCCACCATGTTCATAGATGATACTTCCCGAGTAGTGAAGGATTCCTCATCTTCCAGAGTTTCTCCACCAAGTGTGATTGGATCGGTTGGTGTTCTCCTCGTTGTATTTCATGATCTTGCTTTCTACAATGACCGGTTAACTTACAAGCTTATCCACAAACGTTTTGTAGATCAGTTTTGTTTCTATGATGACTTCATTCAATGGATGGATGAATTTCAATGTTATCGTCTTTCATTGCTCCAAATAGAATAGTATGATGAAAATATAAATATTACATTTGTGATACCACCCTAATTCATCAGTGATTAGTGTTGGAAAACATGTAGCTTAGACATTTGATAAGGTCACTGAGCTTCTCCCCTTTATATTTTCCGTACTGATTTTAATAACTAACAATATGGACTAATGAGAAACAAGAGTCCTGTTGTTAATTGAATAAATTGTAATGAGAATAGTTGAAAACAGTATTCATCTGTTTCATGTGTTCTAGGTCGGTTAAATACTAAACATCATATTGTATTGAACATTACTTTCCAGATACCCAATGAGATTGAAACGAATTCATCTGTTAAGTTGATCTATGAACCACCTCATGAAGGTAATCCAACCAAATTGTAATAATAATTTCTTATTGTGTTGCACATTTGATTAAACTTATCACTGTGAAATTGATGAGATGTCAACTTCCGTAATCAATGAAGGTCCAAGACAACTGCTGATGTTCCAAAACGAGATGGTTATACAAGAGATTTCGAAACAATGTGACCATGTTAAAATGAATTGAAATACATCATTTCACAGCGCTCGTCGTCATTCTGTCACATATACAAAATTATATCGTTTTAGATTGTATTTCATACAAGTGGTTTTATGGAGGTTCTGCTGAATTTCTAGGTTTCACTTAATCACAAAATACCATTCACTTGACAATTATTAGGAAATACATAACAATGAACAGATGACATTTTTAACAACAGCGGTTTGTCATCATCGTCTAGATGGCACAAGAATCACAATGTGCTTCCAAATCACTACAATTGACAAGCGAAATACTCCAACTTAAGTGTATTGTAATGGACGCTCGTATATACACACTTTCTTAACACTGAGGCTTGTGATCTGAAAAGTTTTCAAGTGTACTACTGATATTAGTAGGCTGACAACAAGCGAGTTCATTCTAGTGTATGTTATTTTTGTAAATAACAGTTTAAGAAACTCAACAGAAACATAATCTTGACCATTTTTGTGCAATGAATCCATTATTATCTGTTTATAAAAGACAACTAATTCACTTGACATTGGGTTATCACTCAATTGTTTTCAACTTCTCATAGATGATCATTACAGGAAAAAAGAAATACTTTCCACATATCTGGTGAAATCTGGGATGTTGATTGAGTTTACTCCTATTCCAAGTGCGTAAGAAAGTTATTATAACTGATTACTGGACATATTTTTTATTTGTTATTCATCCCTTCTATCGTTTCTCAGTGTGAAATGATGAACAAGTATCTTGTGATGTATAGAATTATTATTTGTTGATTAGATCTCAGATAAAATAATGTTTCCCTCCCAATTATGTACTGTTCAGAAACATTTCATTGTGCGACGACCTCTGAAATGAACGATTTCCTTCAATTGACAGTTATCGTCGAAGTTCAGTTATATTGTCAAGCATAATGATTGACCAGCTTTAATATAATGATTCATCAAGCATCTTGTGTGATCTAGCTGATTACGTTCATTTACAACTTGGGCATGTTTTGATATCTGTTACCAGTCTTTTAATGGATGTTTATCGAGATAACCCCTATACTTCGCATATCATTCGTCCTGATAACCTCCTTTAACATATTTGAATGTGTAACATCCCAAGTATCGGTGGGAATGTTCTATTGTAATCCCTCCGGAAAACGAAATATCAAATAGTGTGCATGTGTTTTGAAAAAGGTATCAAAATTAACAAACTAACTCAAATACATGGTTATGTAAAATCAAAATGTTATTAACACAGATCAATCGAGTAACTCTGATCATATCTTGTCGTCATTTGACTCGTTTCGCCTTTTTTTTCTCATTTTTGTCAGCAATGTAATAGTTCTAGAGGAATCTAAGCTTGTCATTTGATTATCGTTTAAATATAAAACTGAACAAAATAACTATAGCTGGCATTTAAGTCAGTAAGTAGGACATTTGGGTCGTCTGCAATACAAGATCAAGAGAATTTCCACTGACATCCATGACACTGTCTATTGAACACGTTAATCAAAGGGCTCAACAAATGTCAACGTGTACAAACTCAAGTGTAAGTGAGGGTTCTATAAGCTCATACACAAATCAGCTTATTATTTCGCCTCTCTAACTAGAAAAGTCACAGATTTCATTAATCAATTACTGAAATATTTCGATGAAATTTGACTTATTAGTGAATAATATACATGACATAACAACGACACCTACAGTTTAGTTTGATGGGAGTGATTTGAAGACATTTTCCGGTGGAAGATTTGATTTTAAGATTGCGTGAATGGTTGATAATTATAATTACTGCTTATTAATAAGTAGAATGATGACCATGAATGACGATATTTATTTTCCACATTTGATGTGATGTATTATTAACAGTTACATTATGACACCTTATTTATTTTCCAGTACACACTTTAAATTGTCAAGCGACTCGATAGGGCAGCAGTAGGTCTCAATATACACAAAACGAAAAGCAAGATTCTACGATACAACACAGCATGCAACAACCCAATCACAATGGACGGAGAAGATTTAGATGTAAAAATCTTTACAAATTACTGCAGCATCATTGATGAACACGGTGGGTCTGATGCAGATGTGAAGGCGCGGATCGGCAAAGTAAGAGCAGCACATTTACAAGTGAAGAACATCCGGAACTCAAAACAACTGTCAACCAACACCAAGATCAGAATTTTCAATACAAATATCAAGACAGTTCTACTGTATGAGGTGGAAACCTGGAGAACTATGAAAGCCATCACCCAGAACATACAGGTGTTTATTAACAGTTTTCTACACAAAATACTTCGAATCCGTTGGCCAGACACTATTAGCAACAACCTACTTACCATGGGAGAGAACAAACCAGATTCCAGTGGAGGAGAAATGAGGAAGAAGCTGTGGAAGTGGGTAGGACACACATTGACGATTGCACCAAAATGCATCACAGAGCAAGCCCTCATATGAAGTACTCAAGGCCAAAGGAAAAGAGGGAGACCAAAGAACACATTACGCCGGGAAATGGAGATAGACATGATAAAAATGAACAAGAATTGGATGGAACTTGAAGAGAAGGCCGAGGACAGAGTGGATTGTGGAATCCTGATCGGTGGCTTATGCTCCATTAAGAGTAACAAAGGTTAGTAAGTAAGTAGATAAGTCGATTCGGCATCATTGTGACGTATATCCTTTATCCATGAAACCGCTAATAGTTGAATTAGTGCACACATACAGATATCTTTTTATCTTTTCATTGAAGATTGTAGTGAATACAAATTTTGTGAAGACTGTACTAAAGATTATACATCTGGAAGAAAGTGCCATTGGTGTCCGAAATTCAACACGTGCAGACACCTTCGTGATATCGATATTGAAACCTTGCTTGGAAAAGATTGTGCTATCCAAGTAAATTTAATCTCATTGAATCTCAATGAATATATATAATCTCTGTTCAGTTCTTTTACCTACTATACATGGATTTTACTTAATAACATTTTGTGTCATTGGTCTGTAATATACTGGTCTACTAAGTAATCACCATAAATATTTATTATTCTAATTACTACTGGGTTTCTGAGTGTATTTGTTCTAATACATGCTAATTTCATGCAATTGGTTCCCTTTATGAATTCTGTTTGTTCTTGCTCTATTTAAACATGTTAATTTACTGTGGATTGTATGTAGAGCTGAAGGTTTCATATGAGACTGGAGGTTCGCTATTGGTATTGTGGATGGTTCGGCATTGTTTTGGCACGTTTTGCTGACTGTTCATGCACAAAATTAGTTTGCTGATTAACCGATTTCATTCATACTGGTGGTTGCCTTACAGTGTTCTCAAGGGCCATTGTCATAGGGACACTGTAAGGCATGCCGCCATTGCCAACATTAATGAGTTTGACTGTCGTATAAACTGAATAGGTCAACTTTGGCCTGTTCGTGCTGTGCATAATTGATTCACGAGATCATTGATCGGAATAACTATACATGGGGCGTGAATGTTTATATGAATGATGCGAATGGTCCATCAGGGTGCTTGGTACCTGTGTGGTTGCGCCACAGGATTGAGCTGTACTATTCAGATTGTAGCGTTAAAGCCTATACGGTGTCCGGCTTTCCTGTTAAACGGAATTGAGCTGTACTGTTTGGGTTGTCACGTGAAAGTTTTGACGGTGTCTAGTTCTCCCGAAAACCAATATAAAATTACCCTTGCCCACAAGGGTATATTATATAACTTATATAACTATTGTTTATCATCATGTATCATTGTAAGATAAGAATATGAGTCAATGGAACAGTCTATCCTTGAACCTCTTGTATATTTCAAAAGTTCGTCATCTTAGAAGTGTTCTGACATCTTTCACAAATACATTCCATATATTCTACAAAATGAGTTTGAATATGACACTCAAATACTATTAACAAACTAGCTAGTGACAAGTTAAACAAAATATCTTAGAACAAATGTTTTTCTTTGTTTGTTGTTTTGGATGGTTGTAGGAAGTATACAGAAATCCTTAAATTTAAATATAGTGTTTGTGAATACTCATTAGTAAAAGGTAACGGTTATATCAAAGTAACTGATGTTCTCTTTATGATTCTAAAAAAATTGTCATCATTACGAACATTACCATTAAGCTATTTGACCTTCTGGACAACTGAATGAATACCGCATGATGACTGACACTTTGTTTAAGTTAAAAAGATTATATTTAAGGCATTTTGTCATTATTATCGACCTAGTTCCATCGATCAATTTACAGAGTGATCAGTAGTATAATTCCAGCTTCTTTTCCTAATTTCCTTATTAGTTGAAAGTTAGTTTATTCTCTCCCAAAGTAGGTTGCTGCTGATGGTATCCGGTCAACGGATATTCAGCATCTTACGTAGATAATTGTTTATAAATACTAGTACATCTTTAATGATGGTTGTGGTAGTTCTCTTAGTCCCAGCTCCGTACAATAGAACTATTTCGGCGTTCGTATTGAAGATTCTGATTTTAATATTGGTTGATAATTGCTTTGAGTTTGATATGTTGTTCAGCTGAAGGAATGCCGTTCCTAGTTTCCTAATTCTTGCTTTTACGTTTGCATCAGATTCTCTTTGTTCATCGATGATGCCTCTGACCAGGTACGTGATAGTTTCAGCTGTTCTTGAGTTTCGCCATCATGTATGATTTGGTTGGTTGGTGTTATCCATGTTATATTTGAATATGCTGCTTTGTTCCTTGTGTTTGTTTAGGTCTACTGCTGTAGAGACTTCCGCCACACCTGCGTTTGTTGGTATGTCTGAGAAAGAAGGACTAGGTGAACTAGTTGCATGCAATCTGTCCATTATATTCCGTACCTCCCCTCATATATGTAGATCTTCATAATCCAATCAAACATCAAAAGAAAGAGAACGGAAGAGAGTAAGCAGTCTTGTCTGAATTCGGTCCTCACTTGAATGTGTCTGTCAGCTCTACTCCACGAACCATTTTTCAGTGTGGTCATTATTTTGCTATGGCATTCTGTTGCAAAATTTACAGTTTTAAAAGAACCATTTTCTTCTCTGATATTGTCGCTTACAATTTATGAAGAAATAAAGGTATATCATTGGCTTGACACCGACATAAAAATGAAATCTTTTCATCATCTCTTCAATTTACATATGCTAATATTGTCTTAATGTTAGATTAAAAGCACTTTTGTTTTGGTTTAGCAAATAGGAATTTGTTCATATTCAACTAACGGAATGATCGAACATGTTCCAACAGAAGAATCAACCGTTAAACATAATATAGAATCTACAAACCTTATAACATTGACTTCAAATAAGACTACAATGGAATCAATCACTACTGAAAATATATCACCTAAACAACCGTTAATGAACACCGATGAGTTAAGCAAAATTAACGAATCTTCCGTAAACGACCATCAAACCACTTTCCCACAGGTCACTATATATCAATCATCTAGTAGACCGATTCAAATTACTACTCATATGATCATAAAAGTTACTGAAGACAATCCAATCACATCCAAACAGCTTCTATTCTCTCGTGATATATTACAGATATATTCAATCACATTTATTAATGAAGTCACTCGTCGTTTATACATTCGTCTTCTAATGCCATTCATAATTGTGATCATTGTTCCAAGCATTGTATTTTCAGTTTGGCTATTCAGAAAACGACACTAGAATGATATGAAGAAAAACTAAACTTTATATCATATAACTAAAGTATCTCAACATGCTGAAACTAAACAAATTGATCAATTGAAGAAATACATTTGAAGTGTTCATTTACGTTTCTTTCATCTTTTTTGTTTTACAACATTCAATTCACTAGTGATTTCATCATTCACTTTATGATTTGTCGATTGTCAATAGACAGTTCATTGATACGTATTTGAACATTCAAAAAATGGTCGAATTGGAATATGACTTTCATTACAAATGTAAATATATATTGAGATTTATGTTCTATACAGCCTGAATAGAACTGGGATTCCTGATTTTAGATTATATCTGGAACACATGTTCCTTTAGGTCTTACCATGTCAGGCAGCTCGGTTAGAGAATGGTAAGATTAAAGACAGCAACTTAAGGCTCGGTGGCGAAGTCACATTGCCTATTGTAAAGGAATGTGAGAGCAGCAATGTGTTTCCCTCGGACAAACAACATCTGTAGCGATGCTGAATTCTCACAACGGAAGAAAGGGGTTAAAAAAGGTTGAGCATAAAAATTTCACACCTCATATTACCACATGGATTTCCATCTCCAACAGCAAAGCCTTTTGAATTGAGCAGACAACACATCAGAAACTCCCCATAAAAAAACCACGCGCTACCGGCCTCAAGCCGTCGTCCCTTCAGCTTTTTAGTTACGCTACCAGGTCGCTATGACCGCCATTAACTCAGCTTTGAATTCAGGTCCCTCAACAAGAAATATCCTTACACGATGTCGGCAAACAGAATGGGGCATTAACCCTCTTGCCAACCTCTATCAACAGCCGAATTCATCTTGTTCACAACTGAATTCTTCTCTCTTCACCTTTTAATAATTCTTCTGTCCCAACGACTAATCCTTCTTATTTATCTGGAACCACACTCTTAACTACATGTTGGAGCTTTAAATGTTCGAACCCCGTGTTTGATGAGAAAACAGGCTTCTTTAGCTAGGACTCGACAATCTTGTGCCACCGATGTATACTGCGTTTCCGAGACGCGTATACGGGATCCAAGTACAGTCATTAACGTGACCCCAACTTGTCAGTATAAAAAACTGGCACGGTCTACTCTCCGAATATCTGGGGTCCCCACTGCTACTTCCCGCAGCCTTGTTGGTGAAAGTATAGCACTAAGTCTGAAAGTAACATTGACTCTGTCAGACTGGATTACAATAAACAGTGATTTGTCTGCTGTCAGACTAATCGGGACAGTGGAAACTCGAAAAGATAAGGACACAGAGTTGCTTTTTAATTGTCTCTGCCTACGCTCCCAATAATTGCAGCTAGGACGAAGTTGAAGATGGGTTTTATAGGAAACAAAAGAACTTCCAAAAAGCTAAATGCTCTGATATAGTAATGGTTTCAAGTGTCTTTTTAATGCTAATGTAGGAAAACTAAGTCAAACCGAAAGGCACTTGAGCGGTGTGGTTGTATACATAATTTGTGCATTGAATAAGTGAATTATTGCTATGGAGTTTACGTACTCTGGAACTCAGAAGTCCTTGAAACTTAGAAGTTTGTCTAATGACGTGTTCTGAGATTATCAGATTGTGGCAATACCTGAGTCCTAGGTCCATTGACATATAAAGCTTAGATAACACGTTGCCATCATTATGAAGTTTGGGTTAGAAAAAGAATTACCAAAACAAATGTCAATCATTCAGTTACAACGTAGGACTAGGCACGTATATGCATCGGCCCAAGTTGCCACACCTCGTTAACACATCAAGATGAACACCAAATTCATAGACGTAGTTAATTCAATTGTGTAACATATAAAGGGAAGATTCCATATAAGGATATAGTACTATGTGGTCTTTTTGGTTTGTATATAAACCCAGTATGTTTAAAATACATTATTCATATCATGGAGGCTGAGATTGGTGTTCTGGACTCAACAGGCAAGGCTTGGTGTGAAGAAGGACCAATAAAGACTCTAGACTGTTCGTACGGGTTTTTATGCCTGATTAGTCCGTTCGATAATTCACTGTTCTCTAATTGGCGTTATAATTACATTATACATTAACAGGGCACAGGGCACAAGTAATAACACAAATATTTACTGCTTTCAACTTCCCAGTAGTAGCTTTTGCCCTATGAATTTCCTTATTTTGTTTAAAAACTATGATCATTCATGAAGTTCTTATGGTACTATTTGCTTTATAGTCTAATCACTGATTTCTATAATAATTCATATTACACAGAGTGTAAAATATACTGAAAGTCAGATGAACATGGATTCTTCTGAAACTTTCGATACATCAGGATTCATGCACAATAGTTCCTGTAATCAAATTCTTGATGATATGATGGAAAGAAAAGTCAATTTTCGATTGATTTACTGATTGTGAGTTTTGTTCAAGATTACTTCCGTTTTGATTCAATGTAATGATTACTCAACGTAGTATTTGTTCTTCTTTTCTCGTATGATATTTTATTCTGTGTGTGTGTTGTGTTCCATTGACATGAACTATGCTCAGTATGTGAGTTGTTATAACTCTAAGTATTTTTCATATATGTGGTTTCATCCTAATTATTAATCAAAATGGGTGTACGAACCAATGTAAAAATGAGTATATTTTCGACTAGGGTTGTTGTCGTCGTCGTCGTGTTTTTGGGGTTAATAAATCATTACTTATACCAGTCTTTGTGATCATAGTTTCGCGTCGTGGGGATTGCAGAGGTCCCGACATAACAATCAGCGACGACCAAATACAAAAGGTAGCATGAAAAAAACCAAGACAATAAACATTCAAACGACAAGTTATAACGCTTGACCCATTATAGTTTCATTTCTCATTCATTAGAACAACTTTCATAACGCTGTCAAATCACTCACAACTAAATACTTAAAATAATTTTCATTTTGATATTCAATAAACAAAAGAAGGAAGAAAAAAAAGAAAAAAAGAAAAAAGTCACTGAAATCGATACTTTCAAATTGATTATTGAATATTGTTTTATCAGTAGGATAGAATATCTGTGAAGAATCTTGTGTTTAAAACTGATCCATAGATATTTACTTAAGAAATACATTACTACTGAATACTAATTTAAGTAATATTTAGAAAAGTAGTATACATATAAAAGTAAAATTAGTTGTATAGCATAAATAGTGTATAATAGAAATGATAAATTACATTGTCTTTTCATCTGAATTGTATAAAGTTCCAGTTGAAGTGATTACATTGAATTCTGTAATATAAAATGTGAAGAAAGGCAACAGTATTTAAACAAAATATCTGTGATAACTCAATTAGATTTGATGATTACAATTTAAACTTGATAGATTAGTAAATAAGAGTACAGTCAGACTAAGATGGATACAAGGACAGTTATATTTCATAGTTGACAATATGAATTACTATATATAGGCTATCAAATGCTCTGGTATGGCGAAGTTAGGAAGAGTCAGCTCTTCTTCTCAAAATGTTCTCACATGGCCACGTGCATACAATCACTGCCAGGGAAGTCCTACTCACTACCTTCTCGTGGCATTACTGTTGTTTACCAAATTGAGAGGAAGAAAAGCGAATAATCGGTGCTTTATTCGGGTTAGCGGACACGCAGAGTTGGATACCCTGATTCCAAAACAATGGTGTATATCGGCTACAGGATCCTGATGGAACAAATGGACTATGAATCAATCGTTGATCACCGGCTACCATAGGACTGCATCTTCTAACGTTACTCCAATGACTTGTGGAACAGACCTGTAGGTTGAATGCTCCGGGTGTGGCTCTCTAAGAGAACCACCTGCTTCGGTTTTGGCACCCGGGCAATATCATAGCCCACACATAAACCGAATGATCTATACGGCGCTTATCTGTTTAGTGCCTCCTTGTATCAATGTTTATGTGTTTAATTATATATATATCATACGTATGTTACTGTTTGTTTTTTCTACAATCTATTCAAAATTACTAGAGTCAAAATCAACTGAGAATATTTTAAATAATTTTCATTTTATTCAGACAGTTATTATTGACCCATCACTGGCATAACGACATGTTTTTAGTTCAGCAATAACTGATAAATATAAAACCAATACTATCATCAATATCTTGATCAACGTTTGATACAGTAATACTGCGGCTTGAAGTCTCAATCGGTAGTAACGCTTAGTTTTTCTTCGACTTTACAAATAGGACGTTGATTTACCTTAGACAAATATCTACACTAGATTCCCTCTCAGTGTCTATTCTACAAGACTTCAACACAAATTAGATCGAGAACATGTGATTAGTCTGACTAGAATATGAATGTATATTTCCACACCAAAAACCGACACAATCTAACAACAATCAATCAATAATAATAAGGGTGAAAGTAAAACGGTGGAATCGCTATGTGACATATACATTTGTAGATATTAAAATGGAGAATCTAAGAATTATCCACCTTTATGTGTGAATATGAACACTGGAATCCATTTATATTCAGAGGACGATTGTTAATTAAAATGAAAGTTGAATCCTGGATCCTAGTGCTAACAATAATACAAATTTGTAACTATCATTCGTTGGAGATTAACCACTGAAAGTCCTCTATGAAACTACTGTTGTCATGTCATGATACACTGTTTGAATATTCTAAATATCTTAGGAAAAACGTTACAATCTAATCCCTTCGACTTCTCGTTAGTATGATTAATTCTACAGTACTCATGCCAAAATGTTTAACTTATCAATATATTCCGTTTCATTTGACCTTTAATAGATCAATGATGCAAAGTAAAACTTTTTAAGCTGCATAACTGGCTTTTGAATGTTCAATGTGACTTAACCTACATAAGTTTTAAATAACGAACGCATATGTTTATTATTAATCGCTTAGTTTGATTCGGTGTAAAGAATTAAAAAACAAGCTTTCCTCTAAACTCTATCAGACAATATTAGAATAGATAGATAATGGCTAGCAGTGGAATACAGGACGCACATTTCGTCCTATTTGGGACTCGTCAGCTGAA